CTGTTTGATAAGGATCGAAGATCCTCCAGTACCCCTATCACCAGGGGGTGAAAAATAACGATACGCATTGAATGACGTAGTTCGAAAGTGTCCATCTGTTTTAAATATGTCTCCTGCAGACAGATTGCTTGGACTAAGAGCTTCAATTCATTGTAAATTAGTCCTTAGTCCTCTGCAATTCCACTGTATGATATTATTCTGATAACCTATCTTTTGGGTGGATTTATTGGGGATCTACCCCGCACTTTTTTTGTTGGGCGACAAGCTGTGTGCCCTAGAACGGACGTTTTCAGACACGTCCATGTCTTCAAATGATCCATATCTGTTGAACAATTGAATTTTATTTTCTGACCCTTTCGGGGGCTCTGACAATTAGCCTTTTAGAGGAATCTGGCTTTTTACTTTTGGTTTTATTGAGTTGAGACCTTGTTGACGACTGAGAAGATAGTCCATCATCAAGGGATGTCTCCGATTGAACTCGAGATGTACCAGGAAGTGCTGTTTGTGTAGATATGACAGGTGAGAAAGGTTAAAGGGAATCTGTTTTCACCAAAGTCAAGTTTGTCTGACAGCTTGCAGATAATTTCGTTATTGTTGTTGTTGCTTCTGGATTTAATCTGGCAATGGAACCATAGCTGTCTGTTTGTATTGAGCTCTGGGCCATTTTTTTGCATCCGCAAAAGTGATGTTTTGGGTAAACTTTATTCGATTGATAGCCATTTGCTGTTTCCAGACAGGACATTCCTTAGAGAAAGATGGGTGCTCCCCTGCACAGTGGGTACACTTTTTGACATTACTGTCACAATCTTCTGTTGTTACAGTGAGCACACACAACAGACAATGTGCAAGTATTTACACCATGGCCGAACTTTTGGCATTTGAAACACCGAAGGGGATTCCGAATGTACGTGTCCATACTGATATTACAGTACCCAGATTTAAGTGATTTTGGAGCAGTAGGTGAAGAGAAGAAAACAGATAGGTATTAGTTTTAATGGTTGTGTTGTTTTTGAGAAACATTTGACATACAGTAAGTATACACCCTGATCTTTCATCTCAGAAACGATATCAAGTTCAGGCATGTCTGCAAGCAAGCGATCGCGGTCTCGCACGATTCCCATGCTCGTAACAGGAATGCCAACAAAAGCATCGGTGTTCAACAAGTTGGTTGACTGTTGTCTTTTGCTGCACTCAATCGACAGTAGTGCTCTCACGAGTCCAAAATTTGGGACTCGAGTACTCGAGGGGTCAGACCCGTACCCGACAATTTGGATGCTTATCTGAAACCAACATTCAAGCATACACGTAGTTGTTCCAACTTCCAATCTACGAATAATGCAACATGTATATGTGAATCCAAACGTTTTTGAATAAAGCAATTGACATTCAATGTCAATGAAAGTATCTATTACCTTTTTTTTTATTGCAAACAGCATGTGAAGGCAGCGTAAGTGTCACTGTGACCCAGTTCTACGCGATCAATAATGTGAATAATATTCATGAGCTGGGCCGGTGATACCTTATTATGCCTGTAAATGCTGTTATATGTCCGGGAAAAGAAACCAATCAATGTACTTCTCTTTTCATTTGGTTTCAAGTTTGACTGCGCTTTCAAGATTATCTAATATTAATATGTCGTTGCAGTTATGACATATTAGCAACTTTTAAACATTCACATAGACGATAAGTCACATAATCAATTAACCTAAATTACGGTTAAAATGCGGCAAAACACGAGCGCAAGCTGGAAGATACATAGACACAGCATTCATTGATCGACTATAGAAATTAAAGAATATGTAAAACAGCATTGATGTTTATTTGAGACTTCTTATAGTGAAAACGTTTTGGTTTTAAACTAAAGAGTAACCATTAATCGAGTAACACTACGCTGTATTTCTTCTTCCGAAACTCTGTTGAACGGAGATCACGTCAATGGTATTTATTGTGATTAAAACTTTCACTATTTAGGATATAGGTCTCCAAGTGTGAATGTTATTTGAATGCGTATGTATGTGTTGATTGTTGAATATATAACACTGAAATACGCTGGATAAGAACGACTGTAGAAAACAGGTTGAACATAGGTAGTGGGCAGTTATACACCCGTGAGTGGCTACGCTTGTCCACGCGACCGTAGTTAGGACAACGGCAGGTACTGTTTTGAGTACTGATATTTTGTTCTCCTTGTAAACTTCATACGACTTTATGAGGTAGTTGTGAATTGTCGCGGTACATGGGACCTGCTAATTTAGGTTCAATGGTTCACAGAAAGCTCTGACTCCCCCCTTTAACAAGGCGTAATGGTCGTATATCCTTAACGCACATAAGTATTGCTTTTTGCGTAATACCTTCATACCATTTCCTGTCTACAGGCTTGCGACTTTTGCTATCAAAATTACCAAACTGCACCAGCGTTGCTTGCTGAGCTTGTCTTCTGTCTACAATGCTTATTTGCGGGTGCTTGCAGGACAAATGCTAGCGCATGGAACTTGTTGTACTACCTGCGTAACTAAGGGAAACACCACAAAGACGGCATTCCGTATTTTGGCCACTAAATCAAGATCAAAATGCGTCCAGACATTGGATCTTTTTCTCACGATCATCCATCTTGATTGCGTGAGATGTTTAGAGTTATCTCCCCTGCGAGTCCTCAAGTCTCTTCAATTGGTCTCGATTCCTGCTTTACCCGACTCGGCCCCGAGTACCCGAGTACTCGTGAGAGCCCTAATCGACAGCGTACCAGAACGTAATCTTTTAATGCTCTTCACATCGCCGGCAATGTCTTGGATACCCTTAGACACGGCAAAAGGGTTTAACTTCAATGGTGTATCATCTTTTGTTTCAATGACAACAAAACGTGGCCAGTAATCAATTTGTTTGGGCAGTCTGAGGTCGTTGTCCGTAGGATCATTTTCAAGAGCACGTTTGCTTTTTTTGTGGGGGTTTCATAAGCCATGGTTAGTGTTTTAGACTTCATCATCCGAGCTCCCCATCTACCACGGAGTATCACAAGGACAATGCTAAAAACCAGTGAGTCTCCGACTTGCAGCACCAAGGATACTCGGATGATATACTCAAGCGGAGAAAACTAAAAACATATGTTTTCCACCAGATTGGCCCATGAGCCACCACCTTCTGCGCATATTTCAAATTACAAAATTGAAGTGTCTCATTTGGAACTCAAATATATAATCATGCAACCAAGACATATGATAAATTCTTAAATTTGTGCATCACAATATACATACGCAGGGCGTGGCATGACCAGCCGATTGGTTGAACCGGGCCCATTCAACCACCCGTCTAGGTGAAGTAAGGGGCGAAGTGGTGTGTTGGGCAAAAGGAACACTGTTCCTGCTTCCAGTGCCTTCAACCACCAGAATCCTGTCCTCCACCGACACAGGGGCGCAACCCACGGCAAACGGGTTGGTGGACCAAATATACCCCCGGGTCCACAACGGGGGGTCGAAGAGCGCTTAGCGTTACCCAGCACCCACCACGAGAAGGTGGCTCTTCACGGGTGCCAAACATTTTGGAGAGTAACACCTGTCAACGATGGACATTAAAAATACTATATATATATATATCAATACTCACGACGGAAAATTTAAGGAAACATTTGATTAAATATCGGCTAGGTTTGTTAGACCTATTTGTAAATGAAGGAAGAAAACATTCCATTGCAAAATCGAAACGAATCTGTCAGTTATGCGATATAGAAATAGAAAATGAGATAGACTTTGTGTTCGTCTGTCCATTTTATAGTGACATTCGAAAGAAATACATTAAAGATTATTTGACAGGGATGCCGCCATTGAAAGCTTTCGTATATATTTTAATGACTAGGAACAAATCCCTTATATTAAACCTTTCACTATATATTAAACATGTACTAGTTAAAAGAAATGAACTGTTTAAAGAACGTGTTACTTCCTGTATGTAACAGTATGATGTGTACATACTCTCTTGTATATGGGCCAGAGGCCTTCTGTACAAAAAACCTTTTTGACTTGACTTGACTCCCGTCCTCCATCGACACAGGGGCATGTAGAATTTCCCTGACCGTGGTGAGGCAGCCACGTGAATGAGTGACGGGGTCTCGCGCACACGACACGTCATCTTCTGGTGATTCTTCAACTTCTACAAATGCCACTCAAAGAGTGAGTATTGCTCAACGCCGCATGAGCAATGTTGCAGCTATTCGCGGCGAGAAAATGTCTTTCGTTTTACAATACACTGAAAATAATAAAAGCGATGCCGAAAATCACTAAAATATCAGTCAAGTATCTCATTCAAGGGTAAAAAAACTGATCTCTGAATTAAAAACCTATATCTTTTCATACAGTTTGATTTCTTTTAAATATGTTAAAATCAAGTGGTTAGAAACTTTGTTAAAAAGTTCACATAAAGTAGGAACATCGTCATAAAAACCTTCTCTAATATGGGAAAAGTCAAAACATTCAAACAAAGTGTGCTTGATAGTAATCGGTCTATGGCAAGGGATGCAAAATGGCTGATCTTCACCTTTCAATAAAAAGGAATGTGTATAGAAACTATGTCCTATACGACATCGCAGAATCACAACCTCATCCTGACGAATTAGTCCAGTAAATGGATTCCGTCCAGTATTGGGTTTTATGGAATGAAGCTTATTTGAGGTTTGATCATTCCAACTCTGCTGCCACTGATCTGTTACATATTGTCGAATAGCGGGTTTGAGGTCAGTAAAAGGGAAGTTTTATGTTGGTAGCCACTCAAAAATATTAAGCAATTGTTATCAAACAAAAACGTTGTTAGCGCTCAGCCGATTCCATCGGAAAAAAGACAATAAAGATCATTTGATATTTACGACTTACGACTTAAAGTTTCCTGTCATTGGAGCATACAACATGAGGAATATAATCGATTTTGAGCACTATCTTCTGAGATTTCAATTAACAGTTCCGCTCTGGCGAACATATATTACCTCCCTTGTGATCTAACGCATCCTTGGCAACGACACAGCCATCACGAAACACGACAAGGTCTTGGAAATTATTGGTGGACACACGTCCCAGGAATCGATTCCACGGACAATGCCTTGAATATTGTATTCTTCATTTGAATATGACAATTGAATATCTCCCATTCTCAGAGTGGGGCGACAAGAACAAGTTGTAAAGATGTCCTGTTTCCCGTGTCTGTCAGTCAACTTTATTTTGGGATTTACTCGACTGATACCTTCAGACGCCATCCCAGTGAACGTTTCCGTGTCTCGTGTTGAATGTGCTTCAATGTGCTTGGAGGACATTAGATGTAACTCTTTCTTCTATGACAAACGCGACAGGTACTGCTACCTCACCAACACACTAAAGCACCCGGTGTACCATAGAGGGGAACTGGAAGAAGCACTCAACATTCGCTACTATATTATTGACAAAGGTAGATATAAGCAACGTTACTCTTTTGGGAACTTTCATTTTTATAAATGCCTTTAGCAATATTCCAGCAATACCATGGCGGGGGACACCAGAAATAGTCTTTACATATTGTATCCATATTGGGAGCTGAACCCAGGTCTGAGCCATGCCCAGCAAACACTTTAATGTCTTGGCTATCAAACACCAGCTTTTAATAAGAAGTTACAGTCTCTTTGTTTCATTTGAGACCGATGAATTGCTCACTAACACAAAATATAATAATAATTGCATCAAAACCAAATTGCTGGTAAGACAGACAGATAATCAACAGGCGCGTGTAGTGAAATTTCAATTTCACACGTGCAACTCGCACACCTGGCTGTTCTACCAGCAAGTGGTCCCCCCCTCGTACAACATAGCGAGAGGGTGCCAACTAACTAATGATCGTTTGTTAAACAACTTTTTTTATTCGGGTGTCCAAAATTATGAGACAAATCATCAGAGTCTATTTCATGTGACTGTTCAAAATTTAGTTTTGTTGCTATCATTAGATTTTGTGTTAGTGAGCAATTCATCGGTCTCAAATGAAATCAAACGGACTGTAGTATTATCAATCTGTAAAGGTTCCTCTTGGAAGATTGTTTTGCATTGTTTTCAGATGCAAAGCGCGAATGCCAAGATTACACCTGTCAGAATTAAATCTTCTTAACACTCAAAGGGGACACAAGTGCAAGTGTTTCCTTAGTCCAAAGACTCCGGATTCCCGGTTCAGAGCTTCATCCATGGGGCACGTCAGTCAGTATTTCGCCCACTTTTGTATGTTTTCAATCAACACGCAAAATATTAGGTCTTAGAACGTTTCTGAATATGAAGTGAATAATACTTTTTGCATTTTTTTTTATTCATTTCACAGCTGAAAAATGTGTTTTCCAATCGTGTCAAAACACACGTACCAACTTCCTAGCAGAGGACATTTCACAGAACTGTGTATGACGCTACTGCGAATGCTGTAAACATACTGAAGTAGTTAAGATACGAATATCTCTCTCCATGGCAGTGTTAATATATGTGGACGGTAGGGGCCTCTTGAGTAGCCCAGAGGTTGGAGCGTCCGCTTGTCACGCTGAAAATCTGGGTTCGATTCCCCACATGGGTACGATGGGTGAAGCCACTGCTGGAATTTGGCTAAATGCGACGTGAAACTGTACTCACTCACTGCCAATAAGTTGTACAAGTAATCATCTCTGTCGGGCATTTGTCTTTGGGTTAACACGTCATTACCCAGCTACAACTCATGTTGAAGAATGAATCCTGAGTGAGTGAGTGAGTTTAGTCTTACGCTGCACTCAGCAATATTCCAGCTATATGGCGGCGGTCTGTAAATAATCGAGTATGGACCAGACAATCTAGTGATCAATAGCATGAGCAACGATCTGCGCAATTGGGAACCGATGACAGGTGTCAACCAAGCCAGCGAGCCTGACCACTCGATCCCGTTAGTCGCCCCTTACGACAAGCATGGTTTATTGAAGGTTCATTCTAACCCGGACCTTCACGGGTCATGAATCCTGAAACAATTAGGACATTACATAATAAACGGGTTCATAACGTCGTGAAGAAGTACAATCAAGTTCCTTTCCACCACGTAGCATAATGAGTGCATTACTTATATCGATTCTGGTGTCCCCCGCCGTGATATTGCTGGAATATTGCTAACAGCGCCGTAAAACCCAAACCACTCACCAATATCGAATCATTCATTTCAGAAGCAGTCATTTCACTTTCCGAAACAATCATGTGTATTTTGGAAATGAGGATTATATTTTGTGCCAATTTGTCCCTTTATGGCTTCATAAAATATTTTTCTGTTATATTTTTGTTAGATTTATTTACACGTACATACCTAACAAGGCGTTATATCATCTACAGCCCGTGGGTGCAAAGCAGACAATGGATATGACTTCTCAAGACTATCTGGCCAGTGCTATAAGTACTACACTGAGACAAAAGAATGGACGGACGCCCAACAGGAATGTGCCTCAGCAGGTGCTAATCTGATTCCTATCCATGATGACAAAACACGTGACCTGATGAGAACTTTGATATCGAATGAAGGTAAGTTTGAGTGATTCAGCCATATATACTCATAAATGATGGTCGTTATGTTATACTGAACACGAAAAATAATGCAAAAAAGTCAGAAAACATTTTGTTAGCAAATCTAGGAGCGCACTGGATGCTTCAGAACCAATAACTGTTTTATCTCCACCTTTAGCAAAGAAAAGTTGTGACATAAAAAGTTGTGAGATATTGGTCAGCATGAAACAGGCCAAAGGGCGCAGATGTTTGCAAACACATTCAGTGAGTATATGTCCATGTAATCTTACCCCCGGCCGCAAGCTACTTCCACTGCATTGTTGTGACATCAACTTCAACTGCATTGTAGTTACCTTCAGCAACGCGTTCTTTTGGTCCATTGCCTGCCTAAGGTAGATCGATTAGTCTATCGTTCTCATCGTCAGTGAGAACCGTCATTTTCGAAAGGAATTCCTTCCGGTAGACATATGACGTCACTCCTAGTCACACGACTTGATAGGACCAGGTCCACGAGTACCTAGAGATGTGTACAGCCCAAACACAAGTGTCAGAACGTGTGGTGTCACCCTGAGCAGGTTTCTTCAAATGTGTCTTCTCCTACATTTGCGCAAGTGAGCAACTAGACAGATGGATACCAGGCTGTTACGACGTAAATTGTAATAAAAACGCAAATTGTAATACTTGCAGCAAATTGTAATAAACTTGACATAAATTGTAATAGAAACGTAAATTCTAATAAAAATTGACGTAAATTGTAATACGTAAATTGTAATAAACACGCAAATTGTAATACTTGCAGCAAATTGTAATAAACTTGACGTAAATTGTAATAAAAACGTAAATTCTAATAAAAATTGACGTAAATTGTAATACGCGAATTGTAATAAACTTGACGTAAATTGTAATAAAAACGTTAATTCTAATAAAAATTAACGTAAATTGTAATACGCAAATTGTAATAAAAATTGACGTAAATTTAACCAAACCTGCAGAGGTTTTCAATTCTTTGAAGAGAGTCGTCCTTGGGGTACATATTCTGCATTTTCCGGCTGAAAAATGTCCTGTGACAGTTGTATCAATGTTTTTTGAATAAAAAGATTGTACAATAAATAAACTCTTTTATTTATTATACGGACCCTACCTCACGGAGTTACCTCCCTTAGCGCATGCGCACCAACTGGGTAGGCTCCTAGACCCGTATCATCATTCCTTCTGCTGAATTCTTATCAGTGAACAGAATTGCGGGGAGGTGGGAGGCCCTACCCCAAGGACGACTCTCTTCAAAGAATTGAAAACCTCTGCAGGTTTGGTTAATTCTTTTTCAGAGAGATCGTCCTTGGGGTACATATTATGCATAAACACAGACTCCCAAAGACCGGAGGCCAGGGAGGAGGGAATTCTGTCCAAGCACACTCAAAATATAGCGATCGTATCATGGAAAAAAATTGAACAGACGCCATAACACTCACCTGTCACTCGACCCAGTTTCGCTTCCGCGAGAGGCATTATGGGAGGGGAACTGACAGGGAGGATTTGTGCTCAAAGACGACCTCTAGCATAATGAGACATTGCACGTAGTGCGAATATCAACGAAATCCGACCCACTAAGTGGCTTCTGTCATGAGAGCACCGTAGGGGGAAAACAAAAATACCACTCACTAACGATACAGTAACTCCGTAGAGAATCGAAAGGGGGTACAGGTTCTCTGAGTGAGCTCACATTAGCAGACATGTCAATAATGGAATCTTATTGTACAGTAGCGTCAAAACAAACCAATAAACCAAGACTCACTCGGTCAGGGTGGCAGGACACTGTCCACTGGAGAGAACAGTACGGCCAAAGTTTGCACGATTACGGGAATGCGTATCGAGCTGATAATGGCGTATAAACGTGCTTGGCCGGCTCCAAATAGCGGCAGAGCAGATCTCTTCAATGGGGAGTGCCGATGCAAAAGCTTTTGATGCGGCTACTGCCCTGACCGAGTGAGCCTTCAACCCCTCAGGGGGAGGCTTGCCCTTAGCCTGATAAGCGGCACAAATACACGATACTAGCCAGCGAGACAAAGTCTGCTTGCTCGCTGGCAGACCAGCCTTCCCGCCACCGTAACAACAGAACAGCTGGGTACCCGTACGGATCCCCTGCGTTCGTTTGAGATAGACTTTGAGCGTCTTACGGACATCCAACGGGTGAGTGCTCGTAGGAGTGGTCCCCGATGTGGAAGGCTGGGTAAGAGTAGGAAGTTCGATAGGAGCTGTCACATGGAAAGCGTGATCGACCTTCGGTCGGTAAGTATCTGGGAGGCTGAATACTGACACGATCCGTGTGAAACACAGTCAGCGCCGGGTCGGACGACATAGCATGTAAGTCGCCGACTCTTCGACCAGATGTTACCGCCACCAGAAAAACAGCTTTCCAGGTCAACAACTGAATGGAAATAGCCGATAGGTGTGAGAAAGTGGGACCGGACAGCCAATCGAGCACGATCGACAAATCCCAAGGTGGACTGGTTCGCCTGAGAGCAGGTCGAATCCGTTCCGCGCCAGCGAGAAAGCGCTGTACGAGAGGGTGCTGCCCCAGAAGAGCACCATCGACAGGGGTGTGAAAAGTGGAAATAGCGGTGGAGTAGCCGCGAATGGTCGAAGCCGCCAGGCCTTCTTCCAAACGAGCTTGCAAAAACTCCAAAACTCGGACTAAATCCGCAGAAAAGGGATCTGCAATCCCCTTATCTGAACACCAGCGCGCATAGCGGGACCACCTATCCTCGTACTGAACGTTTGTCGAATCCCGCCTCGAAGCCAGAATTGTGTCTGCAACTGCTGCAGGAATTCCGCGTGCCTCGAGGTTAGACCTGACAGAGGCCAAGCCACCCACTGAATCCGTGGATTTGGGTGGGGCGCTCCGTTCTGAGTGAGAATGTCCGGTCGCAAAGGTAATAGAACAGGAGGCTGAGCCAGAAACCTGAGAATTACCGGAAACCAGCTCTGTGACGGCCAAAGCGGTGCCAGTAGCACAAGTAGCCGAGCTGGCTGGGTGGACAGCTGTGAAAGGACACGGGGAATGAGTGGTAATGGCGGGAACGCCCAGAGCACTTTGCCCGTCCAATCCAGCAGGAAGGCGTCGGCAGCCAACGCCCTGGGTCCGGTATCCGAGAGCAGAACACGGGTGTCTGATGCGTCCCGCCGGACGCAAACAGATCCACCTCGAACGACCCGTACAACTGGGAGATTACTGTGAATATCTGCCTGTCGAGCATCCACTCGTGCGGGGCCAGGATCCGGCGAGAGAGCGCATCTGCTCGCACGTTCTCCAGCCCCGGGAGATAAACAGGGAGTACCTGACAATCGTACTGGTCGCTCCAGAGGAGAAAGTCCCACGCTTCCCGGAGGAGCGCTGGGGACACCGTGCCTCCCTGCTTCAGGATGTACGACATGGCCGTCTGGTTGTCTAACTGAAGACGGACGACCTGGCCACGGACATGCTCTCTGAAGCGCTCGAATACCAACCGCACAGCTCTCAGTTCCAACACGTTGATGTGAAGGTGAGCTTCGGCTTCGGACCAGAGTCCGGAAGCCGACAGACTGCCCAGAACGCCCCCCCAGCCCGTGAGGGACGCATCTGTCTGAACTGTGAGAGCTGGCGTCGGGATTTCCAAGGGGAACCCCCTGGTGAGATTCCCGACATTTGTCCACCACTGAAGGTGAGGTGTCAACCACTCGGGGACTGTGAGACTGCGCTCCAGATCCTCCGTGTGAGTCCACAGCCGAGCCAAAGCTTGCTGTATGGGACGCATCCTCAACCGCGCCCGCCACACTACAGAGATCGTCGCCGCCATATGGCCCAGTAGACGGAGCCAAGTCCGTGCTGGTGCCTGGGGCTGGGAGAGGAATGAAGAGACCATCTCCCGAACTCTGGTGACCCGGTCGGGCGACAAGGAAACGAGATCCTTGTTCGTTTGGAATCGCGCTCCAAGAAAAACCAAGTCCTGGGTGGGTACCAGGTCGGATTTCTTGAGGTTGATGATCCACCCCAGTCGAGTTAGAATGTCTATCACTGTGTGAGTAGCATCTTGACTCGCTGGCTGTGTTAGTGCTCCGAGCAACCAGTCGTCTAGGTAAGGGTAACAACGCCTTCCTTGCGAGCGAGCTAGGGTAGCTGGGACTAACATGAGCTTGGTGAACACCCTTGGGGCAGTCGATATGCCGAAGGGGAGCACCCTGAATTGGTAATACATCCCGTCGTAAGAGAACCGAAGGTACTGCTTGAACGAGGGATGTATGGGTACATGCAGATACGCATCCTTTAGGTCGATTGACGTGAGCCAATCGCCGGGCTGAACAGATGAGATCACCGAGCGCAGTGTCTCCATCTTGAAGGATGGTACTTCGAGCATGCGATTCAACCCCTTGAGGTTGAGAATCGGACGGAACCCGCCGTCTTTCTTCGGGACGAGGAAGTACGTGGAATAAAATCCCGCCTGTTCCTCTCCCGGTGGAATGCGCTCGATTGCGGACTTGTCCAGCAGAGCCTGAACTTCGTCGCGCAATATGTCCGCCCTGGCTTGACATGACGGCACCGGAGTCGCGACGTATGCCGGTGAAGTCGGGCGGACCTCGCTTCCACAGTGGGAGATGGCCTATGCTGACCGTGGCCAGCACCCAAGCGTTGTTGGTAGCCTTCTCCCATTCCGGCAGGAATAGAGAGAGGCGGCCTCCCACTGGGATATGGGGTAGGAGCGCGTGTGTAGACCCGAGTAGCGGAGCTGACTGGGCGTGACACACGGCTTGAGCGGCAGCCTGATGGGTTAACGGGAGGTCGGGGCCGACCTCCCGCGCCCGCGAAAAGGCTGGGAGCTAGTCGAGGACTGCTCCTTGCCCCTACCCTTGGCGGACCGGTTCCTCCGCCTACCCCTACCAAGCGGCCGAAGCCAGCCGGCAGACTCGGGTGTAGGCTGCACCCCGGCGGAGGAAGGTGGCACGGGAGCGCGGGGGCGAGACACCCGCGGGTGCTCCAACAAGGC